TGCCTTTAGTGCAGATGCAGACAACTTCTCTCCTTCAGGTTTCATTGTCGGGGGTTTATTATGAACCAGTTTCCACCACCCCGGTTCTCCGAATTCCTGTGCCCCTGAGCGGAAAAACAAGGGGCTCCCCACAGAGAGACAGCCAGCGACTGTGCTCCACCATGTCGAGGTCTTTTTCCTACAGTGGGAGAGGGGAAAACAAATGTCAGGTCCCCACTCACCAGCCGTGCTTTCATCCTGCAGCCTCCTCCCGCCGCCAAGATGGAGAGGGCAGAGCGCTTCTCCCACTGGCACTGATGCAGGGGGATGACATATTCCCTATGCCCCCGTCCTCAAAAAGGCTAAAGATTAATTAGTTTCTTCTCAAACAGAACCACTCTGAAAGGCAAGCTACCATGTACTGGTGGGCTCTGCAGCACAAAGCGCCGAGTACGTATGCTCCATAAATGCCATGCAAATGCAGCATAGCAAAATGCAATTTTCTTTTGCCAACGAGCCGCCAGGTGCCAAGCCTGCAGAGGAGAGGTCTACCCGGCACTGGAACCCCCAGCTTTCAAATGCCGCCGCTGCTACCTCGTTAACAATTTGATGATATGAGAACAGGAACAGGATCCTAGTGATAGCTGTGTTGACCTGACGTTGCAGAGCCATATTCCACTACTGAAGATGGCAAACAGGACTGTGGGTGTATAGGATGGGAGAGGCAAGGGAAAGGTAGTGATAAAGGTGTCACTCCACACAGAAGGAAAGACAAACTTATTTTAAATGCCTGCTTTGGCTACTTTGAGATTTCATTTAGCAAAGCATGCTCCCAGAGCTGTAGGACAGGATCCCTAAGCCTGAATTCACGCAGGGTGTTGGGATCTGACCACTCTGCCCCCCATAGCTGCAGCCCTGTCAGGTGCTGCAGGGAAGCGGACTTAGAGGTCGGGGAAATAAATCACCGAGGACAACGGAGCTGCAGGAAGCGGCAAGGTACCAGAGTACGTATGCGTGTCCCACAGACATACGCATGTGATCTGTACTGGAGCCCTATCTCTGCTTGGGGTTTTCTGCCATAAAACCTCTCCTGCAGCATGGGGAAGAGGATTCCTACTTGTTAACACACCCGTCAGCCGCACTCACATAATTATTTCTGAAGTACCTTTTTGGCCACTTCGAGGCAGGGAGCTGCACTTATGCCTTTCACTCTGCAGGGCAGCGTACTCTGCTGGGCATTTGGGCACTTTTTGTTCCTCTAAGACCTGGTCACAGGGCTAACTGAAACATCATTTAGGGAAGAAGTGAGAAGAAATATTAAAAAATTGCCCCTGTGGCGAATAACTGAGGTACTCCCTTGGCTACTGGAGAATCAGCTTCACGGTGTAGAGTCTAAACCCTTACTTGCACAGGATCTGGAGGTTCCTCCTTGCCTTTGCACACCTCCACTGGTAAAAAATTCAGTACCTGGGCCAGGCTTGGCCAAGCAGGTATTCGCTGCTGTCTGAGTGTTGCCAATTACACATCTTGGGGTACTGACCCGCAAAAGTGGGGGATTAAACTCAAGTGCCCCAGATCAGAGTCTGGAGCGTTACAGTAAGTCTGGATCAGCCATGCTTCAAAATGCCAAGGCAGTAAAGCATGGCACGCCTTGAACCGCTACACATACGGTTCAGCTGTCCCTGCTCCATCAGTGGCTTGTCCAGGCAAGTGGGGAGACTACGTTTGAGGCCAATAATCACTTCATCTGAATTTAGTCAGAACAAGGAGTGCCCTGTTCCCAGGGCAGGTCTCAAAAGGCAGCAGCAAAGCCTGGGAGGCGATGGTTGCCTGAGCAAGGGACACTGGGCCATCAGCTGCCTTCATGTCACGGTCCCCGTGGTTTCCAGAGGGGACCAACACTAATGCTTCTGAGAACAGAGCAAGGAGGCACAGACAAGCAACAAAAGCAAAGCCAAAGAGCAAATCTGGTTAGGGAGAAAGGCCAGATCTTACACCAGAGAAATCCCTGGGGAAGAAAAGAAGCTGTGAAGTCAATCAAATTACAACTTCAGAGGCTTGCTCAGTTCCTTCCCTGCCTCTGCAGCACATGCATTAACAGTGAGACTTGGGTTTGACAGCTTCAGCACGCTCAGAAAAAATGCGCTGTTTGCCTATATGGCACACAACTCCTCATGCCGCAAAGGCTGCCCTTTACGAGAAGGGTTCTTACCCTGACAGCTTCTTTCTTTACACATACTGAAAAACATTTCAGTGGTTTGTAATGCCTTCTATGTAAAAGCTATTTTATTAAGATGCAAAACAAGCTAACAGACAAAGCACAATTTTCCTTTTTGGAGAACTGGGTCCATACACACTTTGTAGCCAAGTAACATGGTACTTTGCTGAACTGCTTTTTCTTTTTTTTCTTTAAAGTCCAGTGACAGCAGGATTAGCCTGTCTGTTATGTCCATTTAGAAATACTCAGAGGCTTTGCAGGTTCATACACTACCTACGGCAGGATAAGAAGTAACCCAAAATATATGCATTTACATTGCTTCTGTGTGACATTCTTGGGCTTGTTCTTCCCCGCTAACACATGCTTAATCTTTTTCAAGAGAACCCCTCATCAATCATGCCTACATTCAGGTTCTCGATATTAAATCCTCCAATTTTCTCTCTAGTGAGGCTCAACAGAGACATCACCAAATTAACCAGGATTCTTGTCCATCTGTATAACAGGTTTTAATTCCTTTGGCTCACCAATCAGACCTTCAGGGAAGCATCATGTCTTTACCTGTTCCCTAATAAGAAAGTCCAGTGTTTCTCAATAAAAGCACAAATATCTTCTTTCCATCTGAAGTACCCCTGACGGCCTGTTCCTTCCAGAGACAAATTGTACATTGCCAGCATGACAACCTGGAACAGAAAACATTGGATACAAGTTAATCTTTTCTGTTTCAGCTGCTGAACTGCCCCCCACAGCTGCCACACACACAAATATCTTTGGTCCCTCATAAATATCTGATTTTTGCAACGTCTCATAAGCAACTTCTGCAATCCATCTTCTTCCTGCTGTCATGCTGCCTGTTCTCGTCTTTCTATTGTTAGATGTACATTCTCCTAGAGATTTTTCTGTCCCAGGGGAATAACAAGCTGATTAGTTATGCAGGTTTATGCTGAGATACAAGCTTTTACAATGGTTGTATAAATGAATTATATCACGACAAGGATCTGATTGTATTGTGGAGGTACGGAAATAGTTTTTACAAAAAAATGACCACAAGTAATCCCACTATCTAATCCATCAGAAACATAGTGACAATGGTCTTTCTAGACACTTACTGTTACATTTCAAACTGAGCAGACTGTAAACTCTCTGTAAAATTACGTATCTATCTAATTAATATCTAACTAATTATCTACTAATTGTTCTGGGTATGCAAGAGTTAAGTTTGTCTCCAGGTGATCTTCATTAAAGACAATCCTTTCACAGCTCATTCACACGCTTCACAGCCAAATTCAGTCTGACCTACTACATGCCTAAACTAAAGGGCAGGTTTGAAAAATATCACACCTCTTTGGAAGTAAATATTAGGTGACCAACAGTTACTCACATTTACCCAATTCATTTGAATACAACTAAAGTTGTACAGCTGGGCTGGAACCATCCTTCAACAATCACACAGCTTCGGGCTGGATATCGCTTCCAGTACAGACTTATTCTTCACTGCCACAGAAGTTTGAAATGTATTTCTAATAGGGAGGTGGGTCTCCTCGCAGTGGGCTGTAACCTTCTGGAATGCATTGCTGAAGATGCCAAAATGAGGAAATACAGACAGCCTTTATGCCCTCTGTACCCTGTTTCTGCCTCACAACCCCTCTTAGTTTGATAACTATTTATCTAGGATTTTGTGGTTTTTATGTCAGGTGGGACAGCGTCTCAGGACTTCAGAAACAATCCTCTTTTCAGCTGGCTAAAGGTAAGGATTTGTTGAAGCCACACACTCTGAAAAAAAAATCCAGAAATCGCTGTCCCCATTTTTCCTACTTCAGGCAAGTTTGACCACTTCCCTCAACCCAGCCTACCCAGAAGCAGCAGCAGCTCTGCCAGCTGGAAGCCTAGGGAGATAGTATCTCCACCAGTCAACCTTCTCCCTCACCCGCTTTGATTTTGTCTTTCCCTTTGCCGCTCTGAAGAGACCTGGGTGCAATGCTAGCAGCCTTTGCTCTCCAGATTTGTAACTTGCTGAAACTCTGCTAGTCTGCTAGCACCGAGTGCTACGCCAGCCTTTTCCCCTGCACAGCCCTGTGCTGGGCACCACGAGGAAGCACTGCAGGAGTTACAACTGATGTTTTAAATGATCTGTTATGAGACAGCACACCGCTGCTGTCCCAAAGGATGCAAACAGATGTCTCACACCTACTGCCCGACGCTCAGCATGCGGAGAACACTTTCATGCTGAGCAGCAGCTACTGCTTGATCAAATTCATTTTATGCAGAGGCAGCCAGCACTGCCTGCCTGCCCCTCCAGCGCCCTGCTTAGAGCAAGATGATGTGCATCAGTCTGTCCATATGGTGGTTGCCGTATGATGCAAATTATTTTGGTTGCTCAGGTGTGCAAGCGACTGCAGTAGCAAGGACTACTGCTAGTGAGTAAGCGGCCAGGTTGGAGCACTGCATTCAGGGAGCTGGCAAGCTCTCTGTTTGTATGTTGCCACCTCACTAGTTTTACATTTGCTCATATACACAAAAAACTGTTCATGCCTAGCAGCCAAATTGCATTCATTTTGCTTTTCCAAACCTGCCTGAAGCCACAAATTCACAAGAAACATAAGGAAAAACAGAAAGAAAAAAAAAAAGAATGTGGTTTGTATGGTTATCTTCCAATTTACCCGCCAAATGCCCAAGTTCTAATATGCAGGCAATCCTTAGCTTATTAATTTCTTAAGTTCATGCATATGTTTCTTTGTTACCTATACCTGATCCTCCTTTTCTAGGTAGCACATACACAACAAACAACAATCTTAGAAAGTCCTGTGGTTGCTCCGCTAGCACTTACTTGTTGCCATGTTAATCTCAGCCGTTCAAATTGCTCCTTGCCATCTTCTGAGCAATCAGAGCAAGTAAATCTGAAAAAGTTATCTCCTTTGAGGTAGCTGAGCTGTTCTCTCAGTTGACCTAAAATGAATAGGCAAAAATCAATTTCCTGGCCCTTTTATAGGGAAAAAGTGCTGCAAAGGAGATTTGGATTCCCTACAACACCAGCCAGAAGAGTACTTTTTGCCTTTTCCCAGAGACCCAGACAGTTCCCAGAAAGCGTCAGAACTCTCTGCGGTGGAAGGCGCAGATTCATTTCACACTTGCAGCAGCCAGCAGTGACCAACTCAAAAGCACAGGCAGAAGCAAGGGGTGTTCCACTTCACATCTGAACACAGGTACAAAGCCAAGGATTTCCTTGTTTCCGCTGCACAACTCGTTCCGTCTTGCTTCCCCAGGATAACCTTTATGCTTCAATAAATAAATGTTTTCCCTCCCTACTTAAAAAAGCTGACCTGTAAAAACCAAGGTACGCTACTGCAAAGGCTATCAGAATCTACAAGCTTTGTCTTCCATGTAATCTTTCCACCCGCTGCTACGTGTCTTTACAGCTCTCTCTTTCCCTGCCCACAAACAGTCACTAAAGTGAGGTTGTCAGTCCGTTTGCAGCAGCCTCCAGGATGCACTGCAGCAGACATGGTGCGAAGCTTTAAGGTATTGCATTTCTCCCATCAGGGGAAGATCGTCCTTCCTTAAGACTGAGAGCCAAAAGAACGGCCCAGCATTATCAGGAAACACTTTTTCTTGACTGCAGTTGATGAATTACGTCCCAGTCAGCAAAGCACTTCACTATATGCTTTGCTGTGTAAAGCTAACCCTGCACAAAAGTTTGTCTGAACAGAAGTATCTGGTAGGACAGAGCTACCTGTGAAACCCCATGCATCCAAAGTTACAGGCTCTAATTCAATTTTTCTGCAGCGGAGAAAAAACCCACCATATAAATCAGGACTTCTAAACTCACCAGGATTTAATTTACACAATATTAAAAATTGAAAAATAAAACCACAAGACAGGGAAACAGTTAAGACTACACCATTTCTGAAAACTCACACACACATAAGGCCTTTCTCTAAATGCATGGCATCTCTTTTACCGCATAAGCACACCAGCTCAAGCATTTGCAATATACGGATGCTCTGCTTCCGCAGTGAGTTGCAGAATCCAACTATTAAAGTTGCACCTATGTCTGGTGGGGAACACCACCCCCCACTCCCACCCCCCAATTCAGTACATTAACAGAATTTCTGGATGGCAATTCAATGTAAAAAGTGATCATTTCTCTGAGCTTGTTGGTGACTTTCACAAGTGACAACTGATATCCCTATAACTGAACAATTAGCAGAGAGACCAGTATTTCCCTTTTCCAGCTCGTTTACTTTGTACATTTGTGTCTGGTTACCGTTGCTCTGTGATTGGCTTTTTCTGCTCTTTGGATTTGTTCCACAGCAACGGGAGAGGAACATCTTTGTAAAATAAAACAAATTGAGTGTTAAATCAAGTGCTCTAACATGAGATATCTCATGCTAGCTTGAATTTTGCTCCAATTTTTTTTTTTTATAATGAATACATTTCAAGTTAATATGTCCCTTTAACTGCATACTACCTTAATAGTACAATGCTGGCTCCATTACATTAACATCAAAATACTCACTAACATGCCTTGAGGGGAGATTTCTACACTGTAACTTGTGGCAAATTCTAGGGTGGCAAAAAGAGCAGCTCTGACATGTCTGCAAGGCAGGTACCACCTGAAGTTCACCATTTGTAGCCACAAACAAACAAATAAACAAAACCCCAAAACCCCAAACTAAAAACAAACAAAACTCCCCCCAGTGCTAAGCAATATCTAACTTTTGGATCTAATAATAGATCCGACAATCCAGAATTTAGAAAGTAAAATCTAGTCTGTTACATTGCTAATATGTCAAGCAGCAGTAGCAGAGAGATCAAGTTCTGCAGCTTGCTCCAAACTCCTCCCAAAGCTAGCTGCCACAGGCTGGAGACACTTCTGTGAAAGTTAAATTAAATTCATATTATTAGGAAACCTTTAAGGTTGAAATTTTGCCATATGCTCCACAGATGTGACAAACTGACCAGGGGGAAAAAAAAAAAAAAAAGCAATACTATCCCAAAGCCCCTTTCTTCCAGAGGAAAAGTTTTACAGCAAGGGTCATTATCTTTATCTGAGTGAGCAGAGAGGCCAAGTCTCTTGGCCAAAGTCCCCTAAACACACCCACAGCAAGACTGGGGAGGGTGCACATGTTTCTGAAGTCAAACCCGTGTTCTTCACTCATTAAAGAAGACAGTCCCATTTCTTTACAGGGAATGCCAGCTTCGGACACCCATACAGTTCACGGATGGGAGTGCCTAACGCACACCGCTGGCATGAGGCCGTGGGGCTCCACAGAATGCCAAGACAGCCTTTCCTCCTCCAGCATAGGACGGGATACATGTAAACAAGGGCTGTCCTGTGAAACAGGTATGCAGCGCAGAGTAACCACCTTGCCAGCGACAACCTCAGCAATACAAGTGAGACACCATGCAACCGGTAGGCTTACTTGCTGGAATCCACTTCTGGCACTTCTCGCAGTAATAGGACATCTCCTCCATCCAGGACGCGTCACCTTCGTCGCTGTTCAGAGAGTCCCCACTCTGGTCATGCGATAAATCCACCGAAGCCTGGTCCTCAGACTCGACAATCAGGAGGGTCTCCCCTTCCACCTCACCCTCCTCCAGGCCCTCTGAGGTGGAGGTCCTGGTGGCTTCGTCATCGTGGCGGCTCAGCAGCCCACTCATGTGAACGTTATTAGCCATCCTAGATGGTGTTTGCGTAACAAGGAGCTGTTTCTCCCCACATTGACAAGTCCATCCACACTAGATGTGCTGGCCAAGTCTCCACAGTCAAAGTACTGACAACACAGGAAATGTTTTGTGTCCGCCCTATAGCTTTTCCCACTGGATTATAACCTATACAAAGGAAACAGTCTTTCACAGGTTACCTCTGGTAGCTAGAACATTTGCAAGTAGTTAGATACCAATGATCTCAAGACGTTTGTTTTTAATCAAACCTCTGATGACTCAGGTCCATGCCTAGGACTGCTGGGACCCTTTTTCCATTAGCACCTTGTCTCTTTCTTCCACAAACTGCTTTGTCAAAGCAATCTGCTCTTCTAGCAGGCGAATATTCTCCTTTTTCTGATTTTGACGCTCAAGATCTCTGAGGACTCCACTGTGCAGTCTCTGAAAGCACAAGGGACAAGGTTTATCACAGCCTGTTGGAAGCTGAATGCAATTAACCCCCACCCAGGTTCTAGTCCCTCCTGCAGCGCTGCCCACCACGCTGCCTTGCAAGTCCTCTGCCACTGCCTGCAGCCACAGCCACTTCACATGGTTTCAGTCTAAAACCTGATATTGATAAGCTAACAGTACTACACCTAAAAACACTTTATTTGTACTCACTTCAGATGGGTGGGCTTACTAAAGGGTAAAGCTATCCAGCAAATAAATGCTATGCACCTGTAATTCCCGTGCCGTGCAGGATGGACATCATCTGTAAAACCCTGTTACCTCTGCCCTAAAGCTCTACCAAATCGAACTAATCTCCCCCAAACTTCTCCTCTGCTTCGAGAGAAGTTGGTGGCAAATTGGAAATTATTTTACGAAAAACTGGCACGTGTCTTCATCTGCTTCCTTCTGTTCATGTCTTAAAAAAAATTCTTTGTAAACTCTTGCTGCAAGGCTGACAGAAGTCCCACAGCCCACTTATGCTGAACTCTTTCAAGAGCAAGGCACTTCATTAGAAAAATATCCCCTTTACCTAAAATATTCATTATAAACAAAATGTGCAACACAGACCAGCAGTTTTCAAACTGGTGTGTAAGCCCCTTCATGGGTGTAAAAAGCCCTAAGAAAATACCAGCTGCTCTTTGCTTTCCCCGTGCACTTTTCTCTCTCTCTGTGATCTTTTTCATTCTGATAATTACGCAAAACATTTAACCTTTATCTCTCACCAGGGGAGTGCAAAATAAGTGAAACCAAAACTGGTGACATGGATTGGGGTGGGGAAAAGGTGGGGAGGGTACAGCTGGGAACCAGCTGCTCTGCTCCAGATGTGCGCATCAGCGGGGCAGGTGAGGAGCAGAGGGGTGACGAGATCAGGCACAGGATGGAGGAGATGGCAAGGCTGACGCCAGCTCTGGAAGGAAATGGGAACCACGTGAAGGGTTTAGTCGGTTGTGCACGTGACACGCAGCTGAGATACGGTTCCCCAGCAACTTCAACCGACCAGAGCCAGTGCTGCTGCCATCCTTCCAGCCCCATGCGCCCCGCACTGCTCGTCCCACCCCAGGGTCTGACAGCTCAGCCAGCAGGAAACAACTTTCTCTTTTTTTTTTCCTTCGCCAAGGGAGTCATGCTCTGCTGATTTAACTCCCCGAGCCTGCTAACCACAGGCAGGTGCCAGGGCAAAGGAGATGCCCAGTCCACTTAGGTGGTTTGTCTTGAACTCTTCAGGCAGAGTTTTAGTTATTCAGACACTTACTGGATTTCAAAGCAATAGTCATAGACAGAAATATTTAAATGAGTAAAAACATGAAATGTTTGTTGAGAGCCAACCCTGGCTCTCATCTAAATGAAGCTGTGCGATTGCAGTTGTGTTTTAGCCCAACTAAAGATGAGCGTATTCAGCTGAAGTTAAGGTTAGTTAAAGTATTATCTACCTGCCTAATTTACCACTCCCGCTCAGCTCACACTCAGGAATGAGAAAGTTGCACAGGTACCAAGGCTAGCCACTAGATATTGGAGATATGAATAAATTATTTAGCCTAATGGCAAAAAAAAGAGAGATGAATAATTTATTTGACCTGTTTGAATGATGCCAAAATGCACCTGCAAATAATTTATTTGAAAGCTGACCCTGAAGTCATTTTAGAAGATGTTTGTGATTATTATTTGACAAGTTCTCACAGGGTTTTATTCTTCATCTAGAATGCCAGTAACTGCACATTTCAAAAGCCGTTATTTCTCCTGTCAAGATTAAAATAGGGAGGTTTTGTTTAAGAAATATTTTGTCTTGTTTAGAAAATGCAGAGACCCATATGTCAGCCAATAATCAAAACTCTCTGGAATTTAGTCTAATAAAAGCAGTTCCTTCCCATCAGCTTCCATCAACAGAATTAAGGTTACAAATTAGTAGTCACTAATGACAAAGCTCATAAACTTATTATTTCATTACTATTAGTTAATAACAGTAAAGAAAATCTATGGGGAGATACAGTGTAATTCAACAATTAAATCAAGAATCTAATTCTTTTTCCCCCACAAGACACAGCTGTTCTGCAATCTTTCAGACAGTGAAAGCATTTACTTCGAAAACGCAGTTTGCAAGAGACACCTTTATAACTCAGGTATCATAACTGATGCGTGTCATGAGAAGATCAACTTTTTCATAGCTCTTTGATACTCATCTTCCTCTACCCTCAGAAGTTAGGTCTGCTTGTCTTCCACATCAGTTTCGATAAATGTGCACAAGCCCTAATCACTTTGCACCTGGCATATCAATTCATAAAAGTTAAAAGTTTATTAATCCGCATAAAGATAGACCTGAATTAATCCCTACACCGCAACTGCAGAATGTCCACATTACTTATTTCCACTACCTTATTTAAATAACTGGGTCCCTTAAACCTGAAGCCATGGTTCCCTGATTTGAAGATGAAGAATTATAAAGAGAAAATCTCCGATTTCAGCTATAAAAGATTAGCCTTCAGCCTTAGCGCTTCTGAATAGCAATTTAAAATTAAGTTAAACTGATTGCTAGAAAAAAAGAATTGAGCATTTTGGCTTCACTTCTGCAGCAGCAGCACCTCGAGCAATGCCAGCATCCATGCAAACATACACAGATTAGCATCAAATTCAGCTTCTGGGGAGATCACGTCTAATTCTAGAGGCCTGGTCTGCGAACCCATCCCCATACGTAGGGGTCAGGCACCTTTGAAGTCGGGAGGTCCCTATGCAGAGCTCACAGGCGGTGCCCACGCCTGGGTGTTGGGAAGGAGAGCAAAGAGTGGACACTGGACGTCTCTCCCAAAGGGTTTCGTCGTTGAGCAGTGGGACCCTTTGACCCCTCCATCTCTAGGACACTCAGCGAAACTGCCTACCTGCCGGCAGCCTGACAGAAGTGACACGGATGCTCTCCACAGCAGTGGCTGCTTCCCGCTGTGGAAAAGTAAGTTAAAACAGACCCGTGGGGAGAAAGCTGCCCACCGTTGTCTCCTTTGGGAAACCTTAGGATCTCCCCAGGGAGAAGCTTGCAGCCACGACCTCAGGTGTAAAAACCAAAGCGATTTAACGATGTTTTACAACCCAAACAATAGCTACGGCACAGAGCCGCAGGAACAGGCACAGGGCAGCAAGTCCCTGTTTTCCTCCTTCTATCATTAGAAATACGTGACGCAACCCGAAGGCAGTAACCACACCAACTCACTGGCTGATCCACCACTCCTCCTGCCAGAGGCACGCTTCGCGCAGCGGTAGAATGCACACCGTAAACTTGCAGCCCTGCCCTTAATTCACCCGGGTTTCGCACACGAGCTGCAATGAGGACGGTCTCCGCATACCAGGGGACGGCTGCCCTGCTCAGCGCTCAGACTGGATCCCGACCAGAGACTCAGTGTTGAGTTTCGCGTTCCTTGGCCGGCCCATTGCCTGAGGCGTCGCTTGCTTCCCCACACAGCAGATCCCGCTCTGACGGTGGCATTACTCATTTAACCACAGAGCGGTTTACGCCCGCTACCCCCGTAGCATACGAACATTTTGTAAACATTAATTTATTTGCACAGTCTCTCTGAGAGAGATCAGCCAAAGATTAAGGTCAAAAACATCCATTCTGTTTAGGTGTCTCTGTGAAACACCCAAGAGCGTTTTTTTTCCACGCGTCTGTCCCCGTGCGCACGTGCTCAGAGTACAGCTCCCGTTTCTTTCAGCCGTAGTTTCGGAGCACTTCGCACCTATTCCTGCCAGACCTTCGGCAGCTCGAGGCAGGCGCGCTGAATGAGCCGGCAGCCGCCTGCAAAAAACCTGAGCGTCAGTGACCCACCCCGCATCCACGGCAGCGCCGGCCAGATGTGCCTGGGCCATTCGGGCCATTCTCCAACTCCCGCAGCAAACTGACCCGCCTCCCTCCTCCCCCAGCCTCATCCTCTGGGATCCACCATCCCCAGCACAGACACAGCCAAAATCCCGTGAGGAGAAATGAAGTAACCTGGCCACGACCGACCGCGCCCGTGAAGCCCCCGCAGCTGGCAGCTGAGCTGGGGCACGGGCTGGCAGCTTCCCACTGCTTCGAACCTCTCACAACAGCCACCTCAGGCCAGCGCTTTTTTTGTGCACGTGCACGTGTGTTTGCTGGATTTTTCCTAAATAAGGGGGGGAAACCAGCCGTGTGCCCTCGCGCCGGCACCTGACCCGGCGCTGCCGGCCGCGGGGCC